AAACTGGGAGGAGGGTAGAGAGAATAGTGCAACAATGAATGAATGGAAACCCAAAATCTCTAAATGTTTATGAAAATTAATAAAATATAGAAAAAAAAGATAGATTAATTTTCTCTGGATTTCAAATTTTCCATTAATAGTATCCTGAATTATCCAATATCCCACTAGATACTCATGTTTAACAGGGTAGGAAATCACATTCTTTATACAATTCAAGCTTTGACCTGAAACATGAGAAAACAAAAATAATTTCCATGATGTCACAGATAATGAATGTCAATGTGAAGATACAAAAACACATGTTAAAAAAAGTTATTATTGGTATAGAATGAACATTGCTACAATAATTAGAAGCTTTAGAAAGAGTTATTAGTAATTAAAAAGTTGATAGTTTTTATTCTAGTTAATGAAAATAAGTGAGAGAATACTACCAATTCTGTCTTATGCATTGCAACTTAGCTCAGATTTTAACACATGTAGTAGTTATATTTGCAACAATGTGGAGCTGAAGAAGAGTATTCAATATACCATGAACTGCTCAGAGAACAAACATATTTGTCCTACAGAGGGTGAGACCAGGCTGTCCCTTGGAGGCAAGGATTCCGAAGCTTCATTTGACATACTCTGGACATGTTGCAAGCTGGTACCAGTCATTGGAGAGGGACATCATGCTTGGGAGGGTAGAGGGACAGAGCAAGAGAGGAAGACCCTTGAAGAGATGGATTGATTGAGTGACTTGGATAATGGGGGTAGGTGTGTCAGAAACAATACGATTGGCACAGGATAGTGCAGGGTTTAGGGCCGTTGTACATAGGGTCACTATGAGTCTCAGGCAACTCAAATGCATATAGCAACAACAACAACAACAAACTAGTGAAAATCCACTAAAGTTTAAAAATCCTAAACTAAAATTAAAAATTTGAAACTAAAGTTAGAAATTCTAACTGAAAGTCCTTGAAAAAGGCATGCCATTGGGAAAGGAGGAGGATCAGAGAAAGGGAAAGACCCTCAACAAGATGGACTGACAGAGTGACTTTCACAATGGGCTAGCACATGCTGGAAATGGTGAGGATGGTACAGGATAGGTCAAGGTTTTGATTTGTTGTTCATAGGATCACTATGATTAGGGGTAAATTTTATGTCATATAACAACAATATAACAACAATCATGTAATTCTAAAATGTGGGCAAAGTAAAATTCCTATAGGAACCAAAGTGTATGTGCAAGTTTACGAAAGAAAGTAGTACCTCTTTGGATGAAATAAGAATGCTCTGTTATTAAAAACCAAAAGTCTAAGTCAGTATTCCTGAAATTGGGTCATGAGTTCTCTTGGGGCTATAGAGTACAGTGCTAAGATATATGATATATTATAAGATAAAAGTATAATATATCTATGTCAAGTCAATAATACTTTAACAGAGAAAAAGTTAAAAAATAAACACAAAGGCTGTTAAAACATCTTCATAATTTTTCAAAATAAATCTTAATCTGGAAAGAAACCACCCCAAATCCAACCTTTTTACAGTGGTACTAACCAAAACTCCCCAGACCTGAGAGCAATCAAGTTGCTTGTCTGATAGCACACAAGTTTGAATGGAAGTAGCACATCTACTTACAAATGAGATGAGAAAAATGGTTAAAATGCGAAAATTCCTTCTCAAATAGGACCCAAATGGCTAGTACTCACATGAGATTTTGACCAGTAGATAAACACTTCAGCCACCATGCGGAATAGTTCCTCTGCTTCTGGATTAGGCTCTTTCAGCCACTTTGCCCTGGACCATATAAGAAATGAAAGTTTCTTATTTACTCTTTCAAGGCAAATGCATTAAAAATTATGTCAATCTATCCCAAAGTTCTGAAAGCCAAGTAACTGGAAAAAACCCACAGAGCTCATTCAGTGAAAATTATTCAGTATGTCATTAAAAAAGATCCCAACATCCTAACTATCAAACTTTCAATATTCAGAGAAGAAAAGAAGATGGCTTCAGAACAAGATTTATAATTTTAATATTAAATGCCCGGTAAGAAATTATCTACAAACATTTAATTAAGTTTTCATTATGAGGGCATTGGTGGTTCAAGAAGGAATATCCTCACTTCCCAAGCAGGAGATTTGCTTGGTTCAACACCTAATTAATGAATGAACATATGCATGTCCACTGCTGATTTATCAGTGAACACCTGTATGATGTTGAGGAATTATTGTTCAAAATGGCTTCCCCAGACCTTGATTTTGATATGTGACAGGTGGAAATATATTAAGAGGGTCTGTATTATTGTTGCATAGTGGAATGTGCTCAGGGCGGTGGGGGGTGCAGGGGTATTGTATCCCAATGAAAGAATTTTTCTTTTGCTTTTCAAAAAGAGAAGTGAACTGGGGTGGGGGGGCGGAGGAGGGGGTCTGGGCAGGGAGAAAAGTGCAACAGTGAATGAATGGAAATCCAAAATCTCTGT